AAACTAGACCCAAAGGCTTTCGTTTTCCACAGTACCGATAATCCGAGCCATACTCTAACACTGACCACATCGCGGCTTTATTTAGGCTGCTTCTTTAGGCAGGATTTGAGTTATCTCGAGAATTCGGTTCTTAGTATAAAATTCCTGTAGATTTGTGTAAGAAAGTATTAAAAACTGCAACACTGACCCAAAACATTCCATTTGAAAAAAAGTCGGCTGGAAAATTTGTATATCATCACTTGGGTGCCATATTTATTCAAGGCACTGTACACGTGTCTCAATAACAACAATAAAAACAAAATTCACTGAAGCAAATGTAATAAAAGCAAACGTTTCAAATTACGTGCTCAATGAAAAGTGTCGAATGCGATAATTGCGTAAAATAAAAAAATTTCCATGCAAATTACAAATCGGCAGCGTGGGCCAATAAATGAATGGACTGTATGAAGTACAATACTCGTAAATGTATAGCAAAAAAGAAAAAGTACTCTTACAAGTGAATTACAGAATGGCTAGAATGAATATGTGGCAAGGTGGAAGGAAAATAGAACGGCAAGACAGAGTAGAGTAGGTGTGTAGCAAGCCACAGTGAATATGAATGCAGACATGCTCCGGTACTTGCTACTGGTTGGGCTTACGAATTTGGAAGGCCTCCAGCGAGCGGTTCGGTTGGCAAACATATTGTGGTTGATGTCAAGATGACGTAGAGCTGCAAGAAATATTTGGCGAACAAAAGTTTTACGAGGTCGTGTGACATTTTTAAATTACCATGTCAACGCTTGTCGGACAGCGATGGCAGCCAAATTATGAATGTAAAAAAGGATGGAGCGAGTATGGCCAACTATAAAGAATGCATTGCTTGCCCATTTGCTTGCTCGCCTGGCTGCTTGGTTTGTCTGTAGCCGAACAGTCACCTGGTGAATGGCAATGAATTACTCACACTGACAAGTGTAATATGTATGTCTGAATTAGAGATGGGCACGGGACAAAAATTTCAATTCCGATCCCGCCCATCCCGACGTTTTTCCGAATTGTACCGCGGGTCCCGTGGGTCCCGAAATCTATCACTATAATTAATTCTCATGTCTTTCAATTTAATTTTAAATAATAAAAATCTGGCATCTTCCGGTTATTTAATTGTTTTCCTTGCTTTCGTTTTCGTGTCAGTAAAACATAAAAAAGTCATTATTTCATAAAACGTTTTATCGAGAGTGTCGGGAAAGGATTTTAATCACGCCCCGCCCGCAAAATTTTTAAAGACTTTCCCGATACCGCCCATCCCGGCCATTTTGAAATCAGTTCCGTGGGTCCCGCGGGTCCCGATATCTTGCGTCCATCTCTAGTATGAATGTATGTGGGGGATAGGCAAACGAGTTGCATGCATGCAGTGTCCACGTACATAGATACGAGTATATAGACCAGTATGCATGACAATGAATGCGTAAGTTTGTATGATTGTAGCTGAGCTCTTGCCTTTGTCAGTTGAATTTCCGCATCAACTCACAAAATGGTGAATGATGGCTGTAGCACCTGCTTTTCGTACCAGCGTACAACGTGCAGCGTCCTGCAAGTGAGGCTGATGGTTGATATGTATGTATGTGTGCTTGGGTTTGTGGCGTACAAATTGCAACAGCAGGGACAATGCTCGATTGCTCCCATTGCTCGATCGCAGCGCTTGTATATGTACAGGAATGTATGCCATTTACATTTCCCTTGCATGAGGCAATTTTCTGATGAATGCGTTTTTATTTTATGTTTTCTCTTTTTGCGCACAAATCATGCAAAGCTCTGCCAAGCAGATGGTAGAAGCCATTGGTTATGTACTGGTGCAATATGTGCGAGCGAGTGTAGGTATGAAATATGGCTGCCAAGCACATTTTTGTGGTCACATAATTGAACTCAATATAATTTTATTAAAGAAAGCTTCCAAAAGGGACACCGAAACTTTTTTTTTTTTTAATTTACATAGATAGGGAACTGCATGAAGAGATAGATGGAAGCTACGACATGGCTACCCACTGCGAACAATGTGAAATTTTGTTATGCGCTTTGGAGTTTTTAGCTCTGAGAGTCCATGATAACTTTAGCCTTTACCTTATTAAAGATTAAAATCACATAATACATACATAAATAAGTTATCAGCGCTTTAAGCTCATAAATATTTAAGAGTAGTAGAAAAACGATCACAGTTTGGATAATGCCTAGCCTATAAATAAGATATTTTCAGATACTTAATCGTTTTCTGACATACGAATAGTTGACGTTGCTTCCAGTAGATATACTTACCTGATACTGGGCTCACCGCGGTAACTTATGATTGGCTTTATATTAGCCATTGTTTTTTTAAGCTTGGCAGAGGAAAGAGAAAACCGAAGTTATGTATTTACTTGCTTGGAGCACCTAAATAATTTTCTCTGTACATACGTATGTATTTCCGCTAAAAGTTCTAATTACTAACCGCACGATCTTAGGTTGTGGGCTCTTTCTGATAAGAGAAACGGGTTTAGGTTTCATACTTCCCCTAAAACCAGTTTCCAAGTTTCTAGTTATAGATAAGACTCATTTAGCTTTCCACAAAGGTGTGTATCCGCATAGCCTTCAAGCTTTCCGGCCGATTAGTACCGGACATTAACAAATTGGATGTGATATAATTTCCTCCCGACTGCTTTTACAGAAATCTTCATAAGGGGTTCCTAGTTTGGCTGCATATAAATGCATTAAGCAGTGCACTGTAATTTTTAATAAAGGGATATTTTTACTGAGGCTCAATAGAGATTGCATGCCTGCAGAAGTTAGCTCGTACGTCATAATTCCCGGCTTGTACTTGGGTGTATTCTCCAAACAAAACTCTTTAGTTGTCACCGTACGCAACACAAATTATATTACAATAACACAAGCATGAGCAAAATATCAAATTTATTTTGATTTCAGCGCAATAACTGTGCAATTTAGTACAAACACCCCCATACACCACAAAAAGGACCAACGCAAGCCCGACATTGCGCAATGCTTTTGTGTGCTTTAGGGGCCCTATAAAAGTGGCGTGTGCAAAGAAACTCCGGGTTGTATTTCCCTTATAAGGCCATGGCCACGTATTCATAGGCAAAGCGGCGAGCAGCTGGGTGGCTGAGTGGCTTAAAATTAAAACGTATGAAATACTATTGAAGTGGACACGCACTGAGCGGCTTTTTTGTGTGGCGCCGCTCATTGCGTAGCCTCGACCTAAGAGTGACCAAATCGAATTTACAAATATAGATAAAATTTTAATTGCCTTATTCGAAAAAAATAAAGTAGCTTTATAAAAGGTTTATAAGTTGAAACATGTATGAAAATGTCAATTTATAAAGCTCTTTAAACCTATTATATTTTTTATGAATCAGGCCATAAGACTTTAAATAACAAGAAAAAAATTATTTGCTTTTAAACTAGTAATTCATAGTTTTCAACAATTCATTTCTGCCAGCCAAAAGTATTGAACAAAAAATTATCAAAGTGTCAAATCTTAAAATCTAGAAAGGTATCGAAAATTATACAATTCTATCAAAATGGCAACGCTGATTAGTAGCCTTATACTCTCAGAAATCTGGCGCTGTGTGTGCAAAATTTCATAAGAAGCCAAGAATTGTATCGTACTTCCTTCAGATGCAATGTACCGTGGGAGCGAAATGCAGGACGGTCCTACCGGGTTTTAAGTAAAACTGGGGGCTAAATAGAAGCACCGGATGAGAATGCTTTCGGCGCTCTCTATTTTCAAATCATCGGTTTAAGTGCCTCTAGATAGGCCACGCGTAAGTGTTGCTCTCTTCTTAGAGATATCAGCCGTTAACAATATTAAGGAACCAAAGCTAAGTGAAGATTTTATATTTCATGTAAAGTCAGGCAACGACGACTCCGTTTCATCTGAAACAAAACTAAGCAGACAAGTCCACTTTCAACTGTGTTATCAGACATTTTTATGCTTACAACAAAATTAATAATCTGAAAGTTTTACTAAAGTTTACAGTCATAAAATGTCTAAAATATTAATACTTAAACACATACCCCATATCAGTAGAATAAATTAATTACACGAATTTTTCATATTTTATTCAAAATTTTTATATTTTTTTTTACAAATTCGCCAAAAAACACGTTACACTTCAACACTCGATTGGTTTTACAGCACTTGCAGCAAAAATTAAAATTGCTGCTGCAGCACGGGCAAGCGGAAATTATTTCTCGAAAGTGATTTGCGTAATTTCAGCTGCAGTTACAGCTTGCAATTTTTATTTCCGAAAGTGATTTCTGCAAATCTGCAAAAAGGACTTTCTGGCTGTTTATATGGGAAATAGACTTTCGATTTCGCATTTTAATTTTTTCGCATCTATGGAAAGCTGAGTTAGAAGCCTTTAAATTCCGGTCATTCAATAAAAAAAAAATAAAAGGAGTAAAGGATCGAGCACGGAAAGCCTATCTTCTCCAAAGATCAAAATGAAGGTCTTCTACATAGAAGGCATATTTTTCTAATTTTTCCGACAGGGTATGTATGTAAGAATATTGGTATAAATTTAAAAATCCACAAAGGCGCAAATGGGCATCAATTTACTTCCTCGCAAATCAGAAACTTCAATTGCGTTTCAATCTTTTCATTATTTATTTTTGCCAAAATGTCTCACAGCACTTTGGGTTGTGTGTGCTTAATTGAAGGACAAGGTTTGAAAGCGTACTATTCCCAGGTGAGTCTGCTAGTTTTAAGAACTGCATACATATATTCACATAATCAAAAATATATGTACATATACATATATCATCATAATATATCATCATATATATAAATAAGATTTTTAGTGGTAGTTTGCACGTCACTGTTGATAGATTTGCATGATTTTAGCACAAAATATACGAAATATAATCAGCTTCACTTCACTAAGGCCATACAAAATTCTGCTAACTAAATTAGAAACATAGTAATAATGAATTATTTTTCTCGATTTCCCCAACGCGTCCTTTGAAACATTTAGTCCCACCACGTTGGATACTTAAACCCACCGATCAGGATGCCATACTCGGAAATTCTGTATCGATTACATGTAAAGCTGATGGATTTCCCATACCGACGGTACAATGGAAACAGTCGATTGGTAAGTGAAACGTTTTTCTTTTAACTCTATACTTTCTACTGGCAGAATCAACATAAGGATTCTCAACACATCTACGTATGCAGGTAGGGCCAAGGGGGTGCTCGAGCCCTCCCCCTAACTTTCAAATTTTCCTTATATATATATATAAAATAGTACCCTGAAATGCCAGCTTAATAGGGTCGAGATACTTACTTAACTTCGGAAAAAATCTGGAATCTGAATTGTGACTCATTTAAGTGTGGTGAGAAATAAAACCATTCAACCGTCCCCTTTAAGTGAAGAACACTAGTTTTGTCTGCCCAGTAACCCATTCTCATTGCCCAAAAAAAATGTCCAAAGCGAGGGCTTTCTTAGTGATGGCATTGCTTATACCAGAAGCTAGATTTCGCAGAGCCGTCTTACAAGATTATCGCGACTGATAGGCGTGTTTATCCCAAGGCAAAGGGTGCATAAAAGCGCTTCCTTTCGAATACACAGCTTAATCAGTTACACCATTGATTTCATGAAGAACATCATGCTAAAAATGGTGAGGCTTTTCTTCGGGCTAGTATCATCCTTTCCAACCTTAGGGATGAATGCAGCTAGTCTCCATGATTGTGGTATAAAGATAAGTGAAATTCTTTTTCAAGGCCGCCAACAGAAGTCCAACACCTTTTTCGTGTATCACACCATCCGTACGGGGCGATTTGAAGCTGTTAAAGGATCCACACCAATTTTATCCGACCAAAGGTTTCAAGACCGTTGTATACTACATTTTAAAGGAAGCTCTTTTCGAAAAGCAAACTAGCTAGAAAGAGGTCCTGTAGAAAGTGATACGTAAATTTTTTTTTAAACTTATCTTTTTTTGGGAAACTGTTTAAATTTTCCTTTCCATAAGGACACCTTTTTAGCTTACATGGAAACATATTTGGGCAATTTCAATTAGTTCGAACTTTCGCCAGTTTTTATTCGGACACATAATTTTTGCTGGCTTATTAACTAAATCCGGTAACATACATATGTTGCGTAGATTATGTTAATGCAAAAAAACGTCCACGTTGGTGCGTTGATCGCTCATGAGAGGAGAGTCGAAAGTAGCTCGTTAGAAGTACGTGCTTGCAACAGGAAAAGAGTAGTTATGAAGAGTCAAGAGTGGCGTAACTCCTTTTTTTTAATTCTGCCAATCGCGGCTTTTATAGTATACTCTAGCTGGTGCGTTCCTAAAACTGTTACAAAAAATTTTAAAAACGTATGGCGCGTTGCTTTAAAACGTTGCATCATGTTCGATTTTGTATTCTAGGAGCTGAAGGAACGTATACTAAAAATTTCAGACATGTGCTTACGATTTAGAAAAAAAAAAAATTTTGAAAAAAAAAATTCGAAGTTTGTGAGAATTGCCCATTTGTGCATGTAGACATTACAAATCTAACGAGGATTGAAAACTTTCGCTTTTATAACTTTCGGTCCAAATCTTTTAAGCAAACCTACGCTTTCTATCCCCAGGCGACTCTGGCGAATATCGTGAACTTAGTTATGGCATAGGAAACGGCAACTCGCAATCGGTAATTGAAACCTATAACAACGGTTCGCTGATCATCCCCAAAGTCGGACGTGAACACGAAGGCAGTTATCTGTGTCAAGCGAGTAATGGTATTGGTGCAGGTTTGAGTACGCTTATAAAACTAACTGTGCATGGTGAGTTCAAACTACAGCAAATTTGTACATTTTGTTTTTATTGAATGTGTCTAACACTTTAGAATTTTCTACTTTCACTCACTCTTTATTCTTCTTCGCAGTTGGCCCGTCAGTGACAGTTTCAAAGAAGCAAGTATCCGTGCGCCGCGGTGATCGTGTCACATTGCGCTGTGAAGCTGATGGCGATCAGCCGTTGAATATCACATGGCGTGCCAAAGCCAATCACATTGATCCATCCTATGATATACGCTATCATATCAAAGATTCACCGCTTAGTCGTGGCACGGTTTCGGAAATGACAATTCTTCAGACGATTCTCAACGATCGTGGCGAATATACTTGTGTTGCTACCAATAATTATGGTCACGATCGTGCAGGAATTCATCTACAGGTGCAGGAACCCCCGAATTTCCCTGTTAATCTGCATGTGACCGATTTAGGCAGTCGTTCGGTGACGCTGGCGTGGTCACCCAATGATCAAGATTCCATATTCATGAGTAATGGAGGTAATAATCGGGACTCACAACCGATATCGAATTATATTTTGCAGTACAAGAAAGCTGGAGGTAAGTAGGTCACTGGTAATCAGTATTTACTTATGTAAGAATTACTTTCACATGTGTTTAGATGTCTGGCATGAGCACAACAACCAAAAGTTGTTGCCCGGCGATAAGACAACTGCCCAAATAGGTTCGCTACGTCCCGCGCAGGCTTACCACTTCCGCCTCTATGCCGAGAATCACTTGGGCACAAGTGCTCCGAGTGACATATTACTCGTACAAACTGATGCTGAAGTGCCAAGTGGTCGACCGCAGGACGTTTCAGCCGAACCGCTCGGGCCCCAACAACTGCTCATCACTTGGAGGCCGCCAGAACGTGACACATGGAATGGTGAACTGTTGGGTTACACAATTGCCTATCAGCGGCATGGCGCTGCGGATAGTGTACAAAACTTCACAAAAGTCAGTAGTTTAGGTGGTGAGGGACTAAACGATTTTCGACTTACGGGCTTGGAGAAATACACTCAGTATGCCATAACCGTATCTGCCTTTAATGTGAAAGGCGATGGTCCACCAAGTGAAGTGACTATGGGTCATACTTTAGAAGATGTGCCATCTGCGCCACCACAAGGCGTCACATGCATTGCTCTGACCGCACAAAATATACAAATATCCTGGCAAGCGCCACCCAAAGAGTCCAATCATGGCATCATACAAGGTTATAAGCTACTCTACGAACCCGGCAACATCGAATCCGAGTATGGCACACGCGAAACTAAGATCACTTCTGCGCTGAGTACTGTACTCCATGGCCTGCAACCCTTCACCAATTATAGCGTGCAAGTATTGGCATTTACCAGAGCTGGTGAAGGCGTGCTCAGTTCTACTGTATCTTGCACCACAGAGGAGGCAGTACCAGATGCACCTGAGCGCGTTAAGTCAGTCGTTAGCAGCGAATCCTCGGTTATAATCAGCTGGTTGCCACCGCGCAGACCAAATGGTATTGTCACTAAATACAATGTTTACATACGTATACTGGATAAGGGCCAAGAATTGAAAATTCTCAAAGAAGTGCTGCCAGCTAACAATCGACACTTCGAAGCTAAAGATTTGATGGCGCGTGAAACTTACGAAGCTTGGGTTACTGCAGCGACACGTGTCGGGCAAGGACCCAGCACGCCAGTTATTAAATTGGTACCGAGTAATTCGGTACCAGCGGCCATAATTTCATTTAGTCAAACATTGAGCATCAGCTGGCGTGTGGATCTTAAGTTGGCTTGTGTTTTCGTGGGCAACCCAAAACCCAACCCTGAGTGGAAGGTTTTAAATGCGCGATCAAAAAAGCATTTTCGCTTGGAGGTGAGCAATGATAATACGTTAACTTTGCGTAATATACAGCGATCGCATGAGGGCAACTATTCGTGTGTGGTGCGAAATTCGATTGGCTCGGACCATATTGTCTATCAAGTATATGTACAAGGTGAGTAGAAGAAATAGTTAAAGGGGTTTTAGTACATACTTATAATACAGGTTGTAGGTTATAAATTTAACTTATTGAAGGAATGCAGGAAGTGTCCATAAAAATTTTCTTTCCACAATCTCAGTTGCCTTCGCCTCAGGGCAATACTGGCAATTGTCAATTCTGGCAACAATCTTGAAAACTCTTTACTGTCTTTCGAAAGACTAATAGAAAGATCTGCTAACGCGGAGATCTTAGCTGTATGTATACTGATCGCCTTTTAGCAATAAGTTTTTAAAAATTAAATTGAATTAAAAAAAATTTATATTTTTCTTTTTAAAAATGAAATTAAATAAAAAAAAAAAATTTTTCAAACAACAAAAACTAATGAATAAATAAACGTTTAAAAAAATATAAGAAAAATAAAAGAAAGCAAAAATAATTAAAAATATTTCAAAAATTAAGTGAAAGTAAAAAATTAATTTTTAATATTGTTTTTGAGTTTTGGATCGAACCCGCATCATCGATGTGCAAAGTCAGAAGCATTAACCACCTAATAAACATAATCGTGGTACAAAGCTCAATAACAATATTAAAAATAAAATGTTAATAAGTCACAATAACATTACTAAAAAGTTATTTTTTTTTCTTTTTAAAACACAAAAATATAAAATTCATTAATATAAAAAATAAAAGAAAAAATTCTTAAAATCAAAAATAAACCAAAAATCCGCTGCCGAGGACTCGAACTCGAATGGCACGCCTGTGCTTTGCTCACTCGGCTTCTATTTGCTGAAAAAAATCCTTGCACCACAAATATCTGCTAAACAATTTTCGCATTCGCTGCTTTTAAGTACTTCATTCAAAATAGCTAAATTCATTAATTAATTTTTAATTTTCCGCTTTATTCCTATAGTACCACCATCTGCACCCGTCCTTTCCGTGATCGGCAGCACCACCAATTCCGTATCGCTGCAGTGGCGTGTGGAAGACATTGGTGGTGCCCCGCTGCGTGGTTTTACAATGACTTACCGCAAGGAGTTCGGTGACTGGGAAGAGGTACAACTCGATCGACGCGTTAACTCCCATCTGATTGAAAGTCTGGATTGTGGCACACGATACCAATTTACAATGGTAACTTTCAACAAAATTGGCACCAGTGAAACAAGCGCCATCGAGACGGCAAAAACAAAAGGTAGGTAACGCAGATAAATTCGCCTCCAAATTATTTACTAGGCCAATCTTTGTAGGTAATAAACCCATCTCGCCACACAAGCAAAGTCTTATACGTTCAAATATAACATCCGCATTGTTGGAGCTATCATCTTGGCAAGATGGTGGTTGTCCAATACAGTATTTCAGCATTGAGTTTAGGCGCTATGGCATTTCCAGCGATTGGATCATCGTCTCTAGTCGCATAGAGACACACGTATGTATCTTTGCTATAGGATATAGCTTATATATAATTAACTCTGCTTGCAGACACGCTATACAATTGGTGACTTGGAGCCTGGTGCTGCTTATAATTTGCGCGTTTCGGCGCATAACAACGCAGGATCCACAATTAAGGAATACTATTTTGAAACTTTACACTTCAATGGTCTTTCTGCCGAACTGGATCACAGCGACTTACCTGAGGTACGGACACTCTTCCGAGACGTACACCTGATAGCGGTTATTATTACATCTGTGTTCGGCACGATCTTGGCTATAATTGGCGCTTGCATTTGCTTCAAGAACTGTTAGTATAAAGATACTCAACTCTTCTATGATCAAGTTATTCTACAAGTCGCATTTTTTACTTTTCCCCAGATCCCCGCCAGCTATTTGCACGGAATGTCGACTCAATGCGGCCACATGGCGCTGACGGCAAGGATATCCAACATCGCGAACAATACTACGGTACGGTACGCAAATCATGCCAGCAATCACCACCTGAATCGGTTGCTGGGCTTGAACGCATACCTGAATACTCTGAAGATATCTATCCTTACGCTACATTCCATTTACCAGAACATGAAAATCAATCGGCTAACATACCACTCAGCCGCAAAGGAGGCCTACCGGCTATGTACGATCCGCGCGGTGGCAGCGTCGGTGGCGGTGTCATAGATGACAACACACTCTCCAGCACCGGCGCCAAGGTGAAACGTTCTGTCTCAGCTGGTATTGGCAGCAGCAACTCAAATGCGAACTTATCCGGTGGACCGGGTGCACCATCGGGCGAGTGTAGTCATACGAATACTGAGAAACGGCATAAACGACGCTCTAAAGCGATAAAATCCGAGTCAGAGGAGTACGATAGCTTGAACAGCGACAGTGATTTGAGTGGCGAACGCATACGTGAGCGAGAACGCGAAGAAAGTCGTAGCGGCCGAGAATCCTCGTCACATCTGGACGATGGTGGCTACAATCGTAAGTAAAATTTACATTATAAGAAATTTATATTGGTTTTTGTATGCAATCGCAAATACGAAATGACATCTGGTCTTTTCTGGGTCGTTAATATGTGTCCATTTTATTTTCTGATGAACCAGAAACGGTTCTAGGAGCGTACTCTACAAAGTTTTTTATTTTACTTAAAAAGAGTCATTCTGGTACCTCAGCGGGACCCATACTAATTTTGTTTAGATCCGATAATTAGATCGTGAAGAAATTAATGATATCCTTAAATTTTTGTATGAGAATTGAAGTCGGTTTTGTTTTTTGCTTAATAATTACTTGTTCTTTCATATGTCGCGATATGGCTTAGTGTACAGGCATTAGCTGTCTGTCCACATTTCTACTGAGTTCTGATTAATTTTAAATGAGGAGGACAATGAGTTCAGGTGTGAACGTAACAGTACCAAAATCCGGTCAGTGACAGCCGCTTAACTTATTAAAGGGAAATAGGAAAATGAACTCGAACGTGAATATACAGTGACGAGCAAAACTGTAACATGGTTTAACACTTTTTGTTTCAGCCACCGCTATATTTCTAAGTTATAACGACTTTCATCCTTTTGTTGAATATTCTTGTTGGTACATCCCTACTCCCTCTCTCATAATGATTTGAAGTCAATAAAACAACAATAAAAAAACCAGCAGACCAAAATGTAAATTAAGGCAGATGTTACAGTTTTGCACTCACTCTCAGTTTTGCATTTGACAGTTATCTTTTACTTAGTTGGAAGTCAGATGACTTTTTTCTATATTGTAATTTATTGAAGAAGTGATCACCAGTAAATAACATAGTTAATCAGGAACCATAAATGTAAATAATAGATTTACTGCGGAAAGGCGGAACCGCACGAAAAGTGGCAAAAATTTTGGAATTTGCTATTTAAAAATGTTAAGATTAAGACTTAGAAAAAATATAGCCTAAAGTGCTCCCAAGGACAGAGGAAGAAAAATATTACGGTACGATATCTTGTGAACTTAGAAGCAAGTAGCGATGCAGCCACTATTACAGAAGCGCTTAAGGTATTCAACTTTAATGCAAATCAATAGACAGCGAGGCGAAGAATTGCCAAATTGAGCGCAAAGGCATCATAAAGAAGAAAAAAGCAAATTTGATCATAATACATGTGCGAGTGTGGCAGCTTTTCGCAGCATCGCACGAAAACCGAACCGTTGCCTATTGGGATATGTTAGGCCGTTCAGAATGCAATAAAAAACATATTTTTAAGTTTCAATTGAAGGTTATTTGGTCTGACAAGACTAAATTAATCGCTTTCAATCAGATGGCCGGGCATGGTATTGGATCAAAGACCCAAATTAAGCCTCAGCGCATCATGTACGGCAAACTGTGAATCACAGTGGTAGGATCTTAATTGTTTGGGGTTGTATTTCAAAAATTTTGTTGGTCTGTTAGTACGCATTATGCGTAAGGAACAGTATCTGTTCATATTTCAACAAAATTTGCAAGATGTAGTCGAAAAATTAGAGTTTCTGCTGAAAAATCACCCAAAACATACTGCATATGTTCGCAAAGACTGGATACAAAAGAAAAAATTTGCTAATTTGAAATGACCTCCACAAACCGCGGACATGAATCTCATCGAGAATTTGCGAAATCAACTAAAAGCACAGCTAATAAGTATCAAAGTCCGTAAAATCGAGTACATGAGCTGTGAAAGCAAACTAAGGATATACCTCCAGAATTTTTACAAAGATACAAATAAGGTATGCCAAATCACATCCAGGAACTGAAACAGGCAAAAGAGTACTGAACATTGTGTTAGTAGTTCTTTTTTTTCGTGAAAATTGTTAAAAAGCTCTTAAAAATATATGAGTGCAAAACTGTAACATCTGCCTTAATTTACATTTTTGTCTGCTGTTTTTTTTATTGTTGTTGTATTGACTTCAAATCATTATGAGAGAGGGAGTAGGGATGTACCAACAAGAATATACAGCAAAAGTATGAAAGTCGTTAGAACTTGGAAATATAGTGGTGGCTGAAACAAAAAGTGTTAAACCATGTTACAGTTTTGCTCGTCACTGTACATATGTATGAATATGAATACGAATATGAATATGAAGAAGAATATGAATACGAATATAGCTACGAATATGAATATGAATATCTATGAATATGAATATGGTTATGAGTAAAACTCTGAGTATGAATATTAATGTGAATATAGATATGAATTCGCATATTCAAACGAATATGAATATGAGTATATGAATAGAAATATGTGAAGATGAGAATGTTCTAGTCCTTTCTTCTTTACTCTTTTTGTGAATTTCGTTATTAATATATACTATATAAAGTATAACTGCTTTGTTTTCTTTCACTTACAGCTCACGGCCATAGTCCTTGCGGTGGTGGAAACGCAGGAGGCAATAAGGAACGCCTTTCCGTATTCAGTAGGCCTCAACTTCATAGTAAGTTAGTACCTGTTTTAACTAATTAACACTTTTTGAGATTTTGCAAGCATTCAAATACTAACCCTTCACTGACCTGTAGTAAATCAGCCACTACCACCGTCAGCAAAACCATCACGCCACAGTCAGTTTTACTTATTACTAACACTTGCATTTGATACGAATCCAATAACCAAATCAGCACACCCAAACAATATACACCAACACCTGCGAGCACACCCACACAACTGCCCAAATGTGTAGACTTTTAGTCAACCTTGTGTTTTACAGTGTTTTAAGTAATTTTGCATAAATACATATGTATATGTATGTCCAGAAAATATTACGCCGATTCCCAAGAAAGACTCCAAGAAAGAGATCTCACGCACTTCTAAATCACCAAAACCGGCAACAACAACAACAACAAGTAAACCGACTACAGCTACGCCTACTGCAATCAAATCTACACGCACCTTTTTCCAATCCATAATACCCACCCGCATCATTTCTAACGCCATGCATGCACCACCCGAACGCCAACCTCCTCCATCAGACCCCTCCAGCACCTCTCAGTATGTGGAAGCACCAATTACGACCAAGCAGTGCAGTTCACTTGCCGCCGCAGCAGCAGTGGCGGCAGCAGCTAAAGTAGGCAACAATAAAAAGCAAAAACTTCATGGCCCACAACCCACACAATCGCGTCAATTACATCAACTAATGCCACAGCGTTCTTCAGTGACATCTCCCAAACAATTTCATCAGCTCATGCCACGTAATGCACAGCTGATCAGTACACCTGCTCGTCCACTCTCACCTTCGCCACCATATCGTTTCGCTTCATCCACTTCATCAACTTCGACTTCATCCAAGCGCGAACGTGTCACCAACACCAATACTCCTCCTAATACCACCACCACGTCCAGCAACAATCTCGAAGCAATCGCATGCAGTATTCCAACTACATTACGTACAAGTCCCCCAGCATTGATTAGCACTACCACCCAGAACACCCCAACCAATATCACCAACAACGCTATGAAGCCGCCAAATTCACGCAGTGGTAGTAGTAGTAGCGATAGCATCGGATATCACAAGCGCTCGCTTTCCAATAGGCAAGCCAATTTGTTGTAGTCGATGTGATTTTTTTAAAATGTATCTGCACCAACAAATACACACATACTTGTACACGTATTTACGTATTAAAGGACTGTATGTACATATGTTTCAAAAAACGAATATTTTGTTTTAAAATTAGCTAGATTTTGATCATTTACGTGTACTTATATGAACATTAGGGCGGTCCAAAATTTTTTTCCACATATACATATATTAATTTCACCTTCGCCGATTTAGAGCGTAAATTAAGTTTTTATTGTACTTAGGAAAAATTCAAGGAATTAGTAATCAAAAGCAGACGAGGCCAAAATGCATTCGAATGTCTTGTTTGTGTTTTGCAACCTTACGTACACACTTAGTTAGTAAATGAGTTGTGTATAACATAATATGGGAAACTGCGATTTAAAAAAATATTTTCAACTTTCCTAATAAATGCTAAGTGGACGAAGTTTAAGTATTTTAGTGTTAGTCTGGTTACCGCCACACAATCCGACAGAATGTGCTCCGACGTCTTTGCCACATTAAGCCAAAGCAGCATACCCTCTACCTGGCTAGACCAATCCGGTGTATGTGAGAGTTGGTTATCCTGTGAGAATCTTATTGTTGGCTCTATTCAAAAGGTTCTTCTTGTTTTTGCAAAAGATTATCAAATAACCTGGCCCTCTCAGTTCACTCACGCAGTAATTGTAAGTCCCGATGAAGACCAAATCAGAGCGGAAAAACTCTCCACTTCATCGCTGACCTCGTTTGCTACGATCTAACAGTATCCTGGTACCCAGCACAGTGCTATTGTGTTTGTCGCTTGAAAGAGTTGAGAAGTGTCAAAACGTTCCTTAAAGCACTTGGAGTAGACTGTAAATATGTAGCTCTATGCCTCTTTGCATGAATGCCCTCTTTGCCTAAGAAAGCGCACGGAACAAATTTGAGTGCACTTTTGATCTACTAACCCAGTTGATTTTCCTCTGACATAAGCTAACTTCATATGGTATAATGAAGTTGAAAGTCGCAGTTTTTCCCTAATTTAACAGTTTTTCGAACAGTCCTAGGAACAAAGGTCACGTGGACGGTTACAAGATTTAGAAGTGTCAGATATCTTCCATCAAGTACCCGGTATGTATGCCCAAGTACTAATTAACTTCAAATATACAGATCGGATCGATGATAATATCACCAATGATTCTTTGAGTTGGTACTGGAAGGATTCTATTACTACCTGCAGACTTGAGCGATTCAAAGACTCCACCGTCCACTCTACCTAAACCATGTCGCACTCTGGAAAACCTTTGTTACTTGCATTTCATGTAAGTACTTCACATTCACAGAGTTACTGTTGTGGAGGTGTCATCATACCTTCCGAGGTGTTCTATCCCATATAGGTAGCCTATTATTAGTACCAAGTTATATTTTTTAACCGACTTCAAAACAAGGACTAGGCTATATGTTATGTTTTAAATGTTGTTTTTTAAGTGGTCCAGTTTATGAGGTTGATACGCATTAATATGGCTTTGTGTTCATTGTCATGAAAGAAATTCCCATCTATTACGTGCCTTGGGAATATTTTAGGCATTAAATTTCGCTCGAAATACGAGCTTCTACCTTCTTGTTCAAATACGATATTGCTCAAGTAATAGCCCTTAATTTTAAACCAAAAAAGTTAGTTATAATGCGGCCATAGCATAGAATTCCCGAAAATATCAAAGAAACGGAAAATTTGAATATTCGTCCACAACAGCGTTTCCGTTGGAAATAGCAACGCCCGAATTTGGTTAATCGATTGTGTAGTAGAACATTTGTGTGCAGCACAATATCCTCTTATAGCGCAAGAATTCTCAAAACTCGTCTCTGTGCATTATTATTTCCACAAAGCATGTTTCTAAATATTTATGTTTGAACTTTACGTATTTTCCCGCATTTGATAACTTGCATGCTTCACTACTAACGATCACCCCTATCCATGTAGTATAGAATTCACATTGGCTTTCATTTATTTCGCTTGTTTCAAAATATACATACATACATACATATATTTGAAACACCTAACTGTATTTTCGTTTACCTTCAACAGCAGCATGGACCCCGTGCCCTTCGACTACCGGCTCTTTGACGCGCCAGCAAAACAACCGAAACCAACAATTGCCTGTGGTGCACAGTCACAGTCGCATCTCCACCACCACCACCAACGACAAACATCATCCACATCAACTTCCACATCCACATCTACCCAAAATTCAACCAACCATACAAATATGCCCAGCGGTCTATCCGGTGGCAAAGTACGATCAAAAACTTCCGATACTAATTCCAACAGCGGCAGTAGCCTCCTCCTCGCTGGCGAGTACCAATACTCAACTAACAGCGTCCCCGCCCCGCATATTGTCCAGTCGGGTTCATATGTCGAAATTCTGAAGCACGCCACACCCCACTCCACAAATATGACCAATATTGTACAGCAACAACAACATCAACAACCAGCAGCAACACAAGCGCCGAACACTAAACGTGGCGGATCAAGTGGCGGCGCTGGTACTAATGCCGTCATAGGTGGCGCTGCGCTGGCTTGTCACAATAAAAGCTATGGTGACTTTCTAACCATTACACCACGGCGCAAAGGCAAATTGCTTTCGTCCAGCTATGGTGACAAGCATGGTGGTGTTGGTGGCGCACTCGATGGCAGCAATCAAGACAACTATCGCCATCATCTACCCACCAGCATTGAGCCGCTACATCTACTAGGCATACCCAACGACAATATGTCCACTTTCTTCGACTATCGCGCCATGGAGACGCTGAGCAATGCCGATACGCTAGCTATAGGCAGCAGCCTCTCGGGTCATGCACACATCAAGGGCAAGGCATACGACAGCAGCATATCATCGTGTTTGAACGCGAACAACTATGGAGAGTCCACGCAGAGCAGCAGCAGCAGCACAGCCATTGCTGATGAATTCCACAATATAATCAGCGAGAAAAATCTAAGTCCACCTTCAGCGTTCAGTGATAACAACAGCTGTCTACCAAAGAGTAAAGTCTAATTTCTTTGGGCGGCGATAAGTCAAGCAGTCAATGAAGATCATATCAAAAGCATTCAATAACGTAATCGAAGAACTGAAGAATTCTGCATATCAAGCATAAAGAATTAAATATAGAGTGGCGTTGTAGTTAGACACTGGGATTGCGCCGCACAGTGGTCGGAGATGCCATGTTTTACGCGCGAAATTAGAAGGGCTGCTATGATTATAAAAAAAAAAAAAATACTTGATCGTAGTATTGTTGTACTGCTTAATCCGAATATGCCATACAATTTACGGTTTGACGTTTGAGAACTGTCAAATCAACTGTCAATTTCTCTAAAATTAAGAAAATCTTTTTGAAAATACCACTGATTACGTTTTTTGACATGCTGATCACGAATTTTATGTCAAATTAAACCCCAGACAGTTGACAGCTGTCAAATGAACTATGAATGTTTCTAAAAATAATAGAATATTTTTAGAAATGTCACTGAATAGGTTTTTAGACATGCTGATAAGGAATTGCGTGTCAAGTTAAAATCCTCAGAGTTTACAACTGTCGAAGGGGCTGTCAATTTCTCTAGAAATAAGGAAAATTTCCCACAAATTAAACGTACTATGTTTTAAGGCTCACTCATCTCGAGTTATGTATCACATGAACACTTTTTCAATTGACAACTGTCAAATCAACTGTCATTTTCAGTTAAGTAACACAATAGATATTTTTGTTTAGCAAAATCGTAGTGAGCAAACTTAAGAACCTCTAAATACCAAATTTCAAGAAAATTCAGTAATTTTTTAATTCTTGGACGCCATATTGGATTCGTTATTGGATTTTTTAAAATTTACTTCAGCTTTGTGAAGACACATCTTATAAATAATATGATGCCAAATATAGAATAAATTACATTAATCTTTAATATTTTAATACACTTAATGTTATTTGGAAAAACTGCTAAAGTTGGTCCAGTGAAATAAAAATTAACGCCACTCTTCTTGGCGCGAGTATGCGCGATCTTTCTTTTCGCAGATCCTTAAAGGGACCTTTGCATTTTTTTTTGTTAAAGGAATGAAGATCTTACTCGGCCCTACAAATTAGTTACATCTTTCTGAAGAAAATATTGCTAGAAAAATAAGCCGTGTTGATAATTTAGCAACCAAGTTTTATTATGTAATGTTTTATATGAAATTATTATTTTCCATGTTTAAGAACTAAGACCAAACCAGCAATTACGGTTATAATTGAATGTTTCCATAAAAAAAATTTTTGAGAAAGCTATCAACTCATAACTGTTAGAATGCGCCACGATCGAATTCGTTGAACTAACCGGTTTTGAGTTCGTTGGACATTTCTGAATAAGAATACATAGCTTTATTCCGGTTAATTTACCACAGTTTTAAAATATGCCTTTTTCGCGTAAAACATGGTTTCTCCGACCACTGTGCGCCGATTTAATGCATAGAAAAAAATGGGAAAGGAGTCAACTAAATAAGCGAAAAGAAATTTAAGACTTTATTGAAGCATTTAAAACAGCGGAAATATAATCTTGAAAATTACAACAACAACAAACAAACTAACAAATTTTGTGCATAACTATTTAAGTCAAATTACAAGTACATATGTGAGGATATGGGTACATATATTTAAAATTAAATGACTGGTGTGATTTTACATGAAATTCACAAAAAAAAATCCAACAAAAAAGCGTTATTGCAGTAGTAGTCTTGCGTAGACCATTTAAACCACAAATTAAACTAGTGTAGATACTAAAAATATATATGTAAATGGTTATGTTTGTATGTACTACTTAGACTATCTATGTAAATTTATAACAAATACTCATTGCACTTAACGTAAGTAACGCATAGTTAAATTAATTAGGTGTAAAAGTTAAACATTTTTTTCGTTATGGAATGGTCCCAAGGCACTTGGAAAGTAACTGAAGATAAGTGAGAAAGCGGTGTAGGAATATCATATGAAAAAAACTTCAATGAAGTATTTGAACTTATTTGCATTTAATTAGATTAATCGGCAAAAATGTATGTATGTATTTGTACAATTTTCAACATATGGGAGGCAATAAAACTCTGCCTAACAAGAGCCCTAAATGCTATCCTCAACCTATCGATCTTCACCTGAAAGAAGTGGCTACGAAATCAGCGGTCAGATTCAGAATGTCAAGCCTTTGGGGGGCCAGGTACTTTAAAAATGATTTGGTCATTAACAAAATACAATTAGGAAGAGCGACAGATCATATGAGAGGCCGTGTAGACCAGTGTTGCCAGGTCTTCGGCATGAAAAAAAAACTTGGTCTGAATAAAACGTCATTTCTTACCCAAAAAACATCTTTTCCAAATGTATGCACACAGAATTGTTATTATTAAACTTTTATTGTATACAAAGGTACATACATATGTACGTAAGGTATATTAAAATGTCATTTCGACACATCACATAGTATCGAATTCATTATAATTGATCAATATGGTGAATACCACTATTGTAAACTGGTTTGAGATCGTTAATATAAAAATCACTTTATACATACACTTGTGATTGTGTGCTGATTATGTCATAAACATTTTGATCGATTTTGGTTCTTTTTCTTTTGTTTATTTAATGTTTATTATTTTTCCGTAAAAGCCTAGCTCATCATAAAACAAACACAATATAAATTCGCATTTCAAACTTTGTGCAAAAATTATAAAAAATCTGCAAAGTTTCAGCTAGATTTTCAACTTGTTATGCAGATCGGTGACAGGTAATAAGATCAACGGAAATAAGGTCAATTGACTTTATTTCCCACCTTGGTGCGAAATAAAGTCAATTGACATTATTACCTTTTTAAAAACGAAAGAAAATCAATTGACATTATTTCTCTTTCAAACATTAAATTTGCTTAGCTTCGCGGCGGGCCGCATCGAGGGCTTATATTCAATAATACCCCCTATCTGCACACTTTTCACAAAGATGAGATTCTGATATAAAAATCCACCTAAGCTTTAACTGTCATCGGTGATATTAATGCTACCTTATATAACGACAGGTAATAAGTCCCAGATGGTTTCTAAAATCAGAAATTAGTTTTTGTGCAAATTGCAGATAGAGGGTATTAATGAATTCAAGCCCTCGATATTTCACATTTTTATATTTGTAAGTTATTGGAAGCAGGGATGCCAACTTGCCTCAAACCGTGCCATTTGTTCCTATTTTATTTCAAATGGCACTTAATTTTTCAATTTGGCACAAAATGCCAAAATGGCACTTTTGTAAAAAAATAACATTTCAATACATTTTTGTGAAATCCTTTGCGTGCACTTCTTTTTCTCAAATAAAATTTTCTAATTTATAAAGGCTATTCAACTGGTTTATCTTATTTTATCATTGCACTTTTGTTTTGAAAATGAGGCTTTATTTTATTGCTAAATGTGAATGATTAAAAGGAATTACACCTTTTTTGGCACTTTTATTTTTCTATTTGGCACATTTTGGCACTTTTTTTATCCTCAATATGGCACCTCAAAACTAAGGAGAGTTGGCAGCCCTGATTGGAAGATTTCTGCTGTGTTTTGAGGCAACAACTTGTCTGCAGTAAAAAAGCATATAATTTGTGTTTCAAAAGTGTGTGAAAACCAATCCATTAACTTATATGATCTCGGTTCCGATATTAAATAATCAATAATTGTTTATACCCGCATTTTGGCACATTGGCTGGTTGAATGTGCCATCTAATAAATAGTGTCGTCGTTCTCCTTAGCTGCTTTTAAATGACTGCTGGCGGAGACATAAATACAGTGTAAGAAAGTTCTTTTTCTAGAATTGTTTCCTTATAGAAAGGTTGGGTTCTTTTCCACCTTAGACATTCCGAATTCGTTCAAAATATGCTAATTTAAAACACAGAATTCTTTCAGTGCTCCTCCGGGGTTTTTGGACATGTACTGTTTCTTCAATTTAATAGTGTTCGCTTTATTTTTGTAGAAACGAAAAATGTTTTGCATGTTATGGATCATTTCTCCACTCTTTCTTCAAATATTTCTCGTATTCCAGCTGTACGCAGGCGTTTAGTTTTTCGCATCGTGTTTTTACATATTCGTAATTTATATTCTTTTTTTAATAGAATCAATTGGAGGTAGTTCATGATTGTGTGTGGATTAATATCACAACACCGAGGATTTGGCAAAAGCCTTTTTCATCTATTAAAAAACAACACTTACGGGGCAATGTTTATTGTAAGAACAACATTTTTTTTCTATGAATCGACATACTTTAAGCATTGTTGACGCTATTTCCATTTGAATGAGGAAATAGCGTCAATGACTTTATTTCCAAATTTTTGTTGACTTTATTTCGCTTTTGAAAAGGTAATAATGTCAATTGACTTTATTTCGCACCAGGGTGGGAAATAAAGTCAATTGACCTTATTTCCATTGACCTTATTACCTGTCACCTGCAGATCTTTTAGTATTTTTGTTTGAGTATGCAGTTTGATAGCATACTAAATTTCAGGGCAATAATGTGCAAGTTTTAAGTTGCTAATGAATCGCGTTGATTTTTAATAATTTTCTTTTTTTATTCTCGTAGACATTTGGTAGGTGGTCGGTTACATTTTCACGGAAGTCTTAAAAAAGTCGCCTACTTTTTTCTAATTTTTTATGCTGCTACAGCTTTTTTGGCACTTTTGCGAGCGTGCGTGTTGCAATAGATCAACTCTTCCTGATTTGGCTTTTAATGTGCAATTGCAAACATTGCAATAAGCCTCGTAACCTCAAGTGTTTACACACCAGCCTTTGAAAGCGGGATCCTTACTCGAAGAATAAAAAAAAATTGCGCATACGCTTGGTTTGTATCATATTTAAGTCATCTGTGTCCAAAGAATAAATATCTTTTGAATCAGCTGGTGCAAAAAAACAAAGCTTGTAAAGATTTATTAAGAAAATAATTCAAAATTAGTAACAAATTTGCAGAAAGTGTGAGTGAGTGTATGTGTGATCCCATCTGTCTTTATGTATATCAACTGTATGAATTGATTGCGTTTTCCAACAAAATTGGAATTTTGAAATACTTATACGTTATATTATTAAACGTGCGACGTTGTGCATAGAGAAAAATTACTGGAAAGTTAGAAAACGTCATTTTTTACACAAAAAACGTCCAATCGTCAACAGGATACAAAAACGTCCAAATGACGTTAAAAACGTCAACCTGGCAACGCTGCGTGCAAGTGCTATTCCCGAGCTTCCTATAGAGAGGTCATCTCTCCATATATCGACGTACCCAAAATGGATTGATCTGTCTCTAGGTACCCCTGAAGGCTATAAAATTTCAGGTAATGGCCTCAGGTACAAGAATAAAAAAAAACATATATTCTGACAGCTAGGCGGAGCTATTGGGAATATCATAGAAACATCGAAGGCAAAGAGAAGGCTGATGAATTGACGAAAGCCTCTTAGGATGAATCCGAAGCGATGGCAGTGAATTAGAGATGCAAACGATGCATCGATGTTTTTGAGATATTGTAAATATCGGTTCAAAGTTCGATGTTTGCCATCAATGTTTAGAATTTTCCTTCATCGCTAAATTGACGATGCATCGATGTAAGTTTTAACTTGCCCATTGCTTTTCAAAAATTGTTTGACTGATAAGAAAATTCGTATCTTATTCATTCTTTAAATCAATATTCCGAATTTTCGAATTGACGTCCAGTATTGAGAATGCTATCATAACTATTAAAATAAAGTGACAACCTCCCATAGTCACACAAAATATTTGTTATACGTGCTCCTAGAATTTCAACCAAATTAGGCCTTGCAACTTTACGCGTCTTTGGAATGGTATGACTGTTTTTTCTTATTACAGGAAGAGTATAGAAAGTCTAATATAATCCAGGAAAATGCATCCATATATACATAAGTGTGTATTTCTTACTGATATTAAGAAGAGTGCATACGTTCGAATATAAGGCATTCTTTTTTAAGTCGCGCGGATTTCTCAAAAAAAATGATATCATGTCTCCGATGAAACAAGCCACTTATTCGAGTATTTTTTTTCCTTCGGAAATATGATCTGTCGAAGTTAGAATTTTTTCGTGATTCAGACTTAATCATGCACTTCTTCAATTCGTTATATCTCGGGTTATTCTCATCGCAGGGACTACATCTTAACGTCGTTTTAAAGCTATTCTGCTGAAATCCGCCATCGGCCACGCCCAATTCTAGCGGTTTGTCGCCCTAATAAAAATCTTCCCGAACAAATATTTTTTACTGGATAAGGTATTCTATCTACATTTCACTGGACTATTTATAAACAGGTAGTCAGATATAGAGACCTGTAAGATATCAAGATTTTGGACCTGCTGAATACATCAAGAACACAATTATTGTAGAAGAATTGTAGCAAACATCACGATTCACTGGCCTCTAAATAGGAAAACATGTGGACAAAAAAATACCTAAATAAAAATAAACTCTTCGCCTGCGGAAATCGGTCAACGACTAATTAGGTAATAGATGGTCGTCTTCTCCTCGTTCTGGCAGCTTTTGCTGAAGTCATTCCGAGGATTACTCACTCTGAAACAGTTGACGTGTATCAAGCAATGCCCAGTTGTTGTTGTTGTATTTGGCGGCTACAACAACCCCGCCCAGATCGGTTAGTCCCACAATCGTTGTCGTCAAGCTCTACTAGCGGCACTCCCAGGAAGCGTGCGGCCTCGATGGGGACTGTCCATAGGGACAGCGGCGTCAGTAGGGTGGGGTTCAGTGGGCATGCGAAGAAATTTCCAGTAAGGACAGTTGCTGCAATGAGAACTTCATAAGCGCTGAGCTTATCACATTTCACATTTTTAGACTTGTAATTTTTTAATGTAAGGAATTGATATCAGTATCCACATGAGTTGATTCCTTTTTGGCAATGGGTAGTGAAAAAATCTTTTAGAAAAAAATAGTAATAACAATAATAAAAACTGTGCATTAGATTAGAAGAATATTACACATTTATAAATAGTATAAGCGAAACACTGTTAAATAGTTAAATCTATAAAAAGAAAAGAATTTAATAATCATACAAAAAAAAACAGACGAACTTTTTTTAAACTGTGTATATACAAATAACAACTATTTATAAGCATTTAATCGTATGCATTTATATCTAATAGAAAAACTGAACTGCAAAATATCCACTTGCAAACTCCGATAGAAAAGTTAGTTGTACTACGTACATGCTACATACATATATACATGAATTCATATGTAAATAAAACAAAAATGTTTACCCGATTGTTGTGTGGTGTCGGCGGTTGACAAAGCTGCGCTAAGTCAATACTAATATGTATGTATGTATTAAAATAAGGCATACGTGCATCTATATACATACATACATCCTGTGCATATACATACATATGTACGGAAATATGTTCCAGCAATTACACACACATTTTGGCTAAAAGACAAAAATTTACAATTAACCCTCGAAATCAATTTTAATGCGTCAATTTTTTTACGAAAATTTACAAAACCCTTAATATAAAAAAGACATACATAGTTAAAAAGCAACAAAAATCTAGTGTGACATACATACATATATAAGAAGTAAAACAATAAAATCTCAAATTAAAACTACGCGCATGTATCTATTGTGTTTTAGAAAACATATAC